CCGATCCCGGAGCTTCAGCAGCGCCGGCTGTTTCAGGGAAATCCAGGCCTCCGCCCGGGCTGGCGTAGCGTGCTGAGGAGCCAGTTGTCTGGTTTTATGTGGTGGCACGTCTGTAACACAGCCCATCTCCTCGTGTGCCGGCTCTGACTTGGTACGCACGGGTTACGCTCTAAGTTTGGCTGAAGTGGGTTCGGTTTTCTTCTCTTTCCCCAAAGGGCTGTGCTTTAGGCGCCAGCCCAGGAATTATTTACAGAATTAACGTCACTTTTAAACCAAAATGCTTGCTGATGTGAGCCAACACTGGAAAAACTTAAGTATTTACTTTCATAGTTGAGTGAAAGGCTGAACTATGCAACTCCTAACAGCAGGTGCCTAGTCTTATTTTGTATAGTGGAGGAAGGAAGCAGATGCATTCAACCATGTGGGTTAGTCTTTTGTGTTTTGGGTTTTTTTAAATGTATCTATGTGCTTTTCGCCCATGTTTGTGAGCAGGGATAGTAGGGAGGGCTAGATGGGAGACAGTTGCATAACCAGAAACTACGTTTTGGGTGCATCTAGTAATCAGGTTTAGTGGTTTGACTTGAACATCTAGATTTGGAGGAGATTTTGGGTTGTTTGATTTTTTTTAGGGGTTTTGGTTTGTTGTGTTCTGGGTTTTTTTTAATTACTTTACTAATTATCTTGTGGAAGGAATTTATGTTCATGTTCTGCATTTCTCTGCTGCTCTGGGTTTTTTTTCTGAGGACAGCTCTGCTGCCTTGGTGCCATCACCAAAGAATGGTAATAATAGCAACTCACCTGGGAGCAAGGTGTTGCTTTTCTCTTCCTTTGCTTCTTAGCACTGTATGCTTTTATGAAGTTCCATATACTCTTCATCTTGATGAACAGAGTGTGCTTGTGTGTGTGTCTTTTTTAAAGTATCGTCTTTTACAAATTCAGGTGTTGGATTACCATGGATGTAAAATAAGCGACCCGTACTGCTGGCTTGAAGATCCCGATAGTGAACAGACCAAGGTAACCCTTCTTTGTACGGGAATGGCTGTTTTGACATGGTTCTCTTTTGCGTAGTTGCATAGGTACTCTGTTTTTGAAGGACCTCCCAATACTTTTTGAAAACGTACATAGTGAATGTAGATGTAGTTCGTGTGTTATCTTACGGTGCCAACAGCAATGCCATAATTTTGAACCTTTGTGGTAATGGAAGAAAGACTGGGACCTTTGATAGAACCTAGATCACAGAATTTGGAGAATGAAGACCTAGTTTATCTTGCACCCGTTTTTTTTGGACAATTCAATGCTTGGACTATTCAATTCCAATTTCTTGGAATGCTCAAGGTGGTGGTGTCTCACTGAAGAGAAACACTCTGATTTTAAAGTGCTTTATCCACTGTCCTAAGTATATCTAAAATTGCAGTAATAAAATAGTTGAGAAAGGATAGAAAGAAAACTCCTTTGGCTTGTTTTCTTCGTACAGTGACAAAGTGTGTGAGTACATCTTTTTTTCCTTTTTACTCCTCTTTTTAATAAAAAAACCCAACAACATTTTCCTCCTGAAGTTAGGCTTTTATTATGGATTGCAGATGTTGCAGTGTTTTCAGCCTGCAGTCTGGTATAGCCAGACTGTGCTGCTGGAACTGGTCTTTCACTGAGAGAGAATCCTGAAAAATAGCAAGTACGACTGTGAGCCAGTTCCTCTGATGGTGATGGCATAGGGGGTTGAAGGGGTGATGGCCAGAAAGTGGTAGCTGGCAGTGTGGAGGGGATTTCTTCTGTAACAGCTAATAACTTTGTGATGAGTGTAGATGCCAGTGTTTTAGATCTGGAACTATCTAGTATGCACGATTGTATCAGAAAGATGATGGAGGGCAGGATCTCTATTTAAAAAATATTCTGCAGGGTGGCTTTCCATTAGTGAGGTTCCTTGTAGGTTCTCTCACGTATGTGCTTATCTAATACATCTTGATGAGGTAGAGATTGGTCGAATAGAACTTGCTGTAACTCTCAAGAGTAAGGTAAAATGTGTATGGTTAGGATTGCATTCCCTCCTTACAAATCTATCAGCATGTGGATTAAAAAGGTTCATTTGGGGTCAGGTTTTGGTGAAAAACTCTGCCATGGATGTTAACATTGAATATTAGATATTTAGTAAGTTGGGAGTATTTTGATGTTTTGATACTGGCATCCTTAAGAAACGGTACACATAGGATAGGTCTGTGCCAGATTTAGAGGGATATATGTGTGGGGAGGTATGGTTATGTCTTTCTTTTATAGAGGCCTTACAAATACCTGTTAAAGTGTTTTTTGGGATCCTGTGGAAGAGTTGGGATTGAGAAAATGCCAAGACCTGACTTTTTGTGTCCCTGTGTTCAGTACTTTTGCCACATACTGTCAATAGGTTGGGTGAGAACAGTTGGAGGAGGGTGAATCTCATTTGCCACAGGTTGTAGTTCATATAGGAGGCAAAATAAGGAATGGAGGATTATAAGATTCTCAAAAAAATGGAGCAGCCCAGACACAAGATGTCACATTGGCGGAATGAAAATGTTGGTAAATCTTGCTTGCGTACACTCTAAAAAAGACATGCCTTGGCAAAATTTTGCAGTGCAGCACTAGTATGATGCAAAGAGTGGAGAGAGTTTCTGTGTGTATAAGTATACGAGTGTGTCATCTTTTTCCAAAGTTCCGGGGGTTACTGAACAAAGGGAATTAAAGTATTTTGCTATTCTATCCCTTTCATAGAACAGGTCAGAAAAAAAAAAAATGAAGTGCTAAACAGCTTTCACGTGCTTTGTGACTCGCTTCTTTGTGCTCTGCAGCAGGGGTTGCTGACAGCCACTCTTTCTTGCTTGCTTTCCTTAATAGTTTTATCTCCAAGTTCTTGAGATAGTTTGCAGGACTCCTGCAGAATAGCCATTTTGCACCTACCAGATCAGAGAATAACTAGATACTGGTATAGAGGGAACTGAATGACTGTATAGGCTTCAGAGAGAATTTGGAGCGTGCTTTGTAGACTTTTCAAGCCTTCAAGTCACTGACCTTGAGACCTTCCCATTCTTCATCCAAGTCACTCGCAATCTTTATGCACTCCTTAATATCCCAAACCTCTGTTTGGTTTTTTTGGAAGAGTAAAAATATCTTGTGTACACCTCCAACAATAGGCTACTGTTAGTTCTCTACATATTAAGTACAGAACTAGAAGAAGAATTCCTTGGGCATCCATGCACATCTGTAGTGAAAGAGCCCCTATTTGGTTCCTGTTTACAACATGCTTGCTTGATTTGAGTATGTGTTAACAGTGAAAATTCTGGTTTATGCCAAGAGGGAAGACTGAACATCATTCATTTATTAAGTTATGAATCTTTTCTCACATGCAAACCATGAAAATTATTTGGTGTGTACTGTCAAATAGATACACAAATATGTTGGAATTCTGCTTTTCTAGACTTAGCAGAAATAGTCATGTCAAGCATTGATGTGGTCTCAGAAAATAAATGAGTAGGCCTTGCTGTTTCTGTGTTGATGTGAGTCAGTGAAAGATGAAGTTTACTGTTTGTTTGAAGCACGGAGAAAGAAGCACAGGCAAGTGATACTGGTTTTAACTCTGGAATTTTCATGGTAGTTTCACCTGATGCCCACTGTAGGGTTAACAGAACTAGCACTGAAAGAAATTACCCACAACAGCTATGAGAATAAAGAATCATACTCATTTTTCCTGTGGCCAGTCCAAATGATCTTGTGGGCTCTGGTAGCAGCTTATGAACAACGAACAGGGTGGGACTTTTTTTGTAATTGGCTTAATTCGGTATTTTTGCAGTGAGAGCAGAGGTGCAGTAGATGATCTGCTGTTGTTTGTAGGTTTCCATTAATCAGGTGGTTCTGTGGTTTCTCTCTGCTCTCCCTCCCCTTTTGCACTGACCTGAATGCTTCTGTCCCTCCCTTGCATAGGTATGACCATCACAAGGTGATGTTCTGGGAGGGAAGCCTTTGGTGGATTAGTTTCCTATTGGCACATATGCTTAATCTAGGTCACCCCAAGGCCACATGATAGTTGGATCTAAGATAGTTTAAGAATGGGATCTTTCCTTTTCTAGTAGCCCACAGCCTACATTTAAGTAGGTGAAAGTCAAATAGGTCTAGAAATTTTTTGGCCCGGTCACCAAGGTGATCTTATTCCATCCGCAGTGTCTATATCTGCTATAAAAAGCAGGTTATTAAAATCTGCAGGTGGCTAAGCAGGACTGTTTCTTGTCAGGTGCACAGTCTTAGAGCTGATCAAGCCCCATTCTCAATCTCTTGTGGAAAGGCTGTTGTTCAAGAAGTATGCACTTCCATGTTAATATGCTTTACTGTATCGCTTTTTTCCCTGTATGTGCTTGATTGGGGTAGACATGTGCAACTATAAGAAAACCAAACTCCCTTCTGCAGATAAGTAAAGAAAAACTGAGCCCTTGGTCAGATGGTGAATTTCCTACCTCACTTTGGAGAGAAGTGCGGAATGTGGGTTCATGCTCTGCTACTGTTTGGCCATTGACCTTTAAGACAGATGGAGGACGCATCCCCAGTGAGTTGAAATATTGTGTCACACTGATAAAACACTTCTGGTAATGACACAGACCACAACTGCAAAACCACACTTCCATTGTTTTGAGTTTGGCTTGGTTGGACTTCTCAACTTCTTAGTTGGTTTTTACACTTTGTGGGGAAAAAAGCTCTTTTTTTAGACTACTGCAAAGTCTTTTGTTACTATAAATACATCAGTCATATACAGTACTTTAACTCACTGACAGTGTAGGCAGTGATGCGTAGCTTGTTTCAGACATGAGGGATGGAGGAGGAATGAAAGAGCAGGGATCGTGTAGCATACACAGTTGAGTTGGTGTGTTGTGTACAGGTGTATGTTTGGATTAAGACTAGAATTGAAACTCAGAACTACAATTAAATTGATTTGTAGTTATAAAAGACCAGTGTTTCATTCATGATTTGATAAATTTCCAATTGCACTTTGAATTTTTCTTTCCTAAATACTGAAGTAAATGCTAAGAGCAAGCTACGAAAAGTCTGCTTAATTTTATTTTGTGCCCTCTTGTAGGAGTTGCACTGAACTACTTTTTACTGAGAAGATATATATGAAGATTTTCGGGGTAACTATTAAACAAACTGTAAATACTTTACAGATTAATTACAAAGACTGGTAATGTTAAAACAATTTCTATCCTAAGACTTCTCCTTGGAAAGTATACTGGAAGTGGAAATGATTATCTTGAGAGAATAGCTTAGTGGCATGTAGAAAGCTGACAGGTTGTAACAAAGCATGGTTAAAAAATTTTGTGGCCTGTTTTTTTTTAGGTGAAATTTAGTTATACTTTTAAAAAAAATAACAATTGGCCTGCTCAAGTAATGGCCAAACACTGGAGCCTCAAGTAGAACATCTCTACTCTTAGTACAACACTTTAGAAATTCTTTTCCTTTTCAAATTACCTTATTTTCTGAGATACCCATAAGCATATACCTTACTTGGACCCTTATTCTGTCCTTTCTTCTGCTAGCAAATTCTGTCCTGATTCAAGGCGTATGATAGATTGTCAGATGCAGATTTCTACAGGTAAAATAGGCATCTTTCTTTATAGGCTCATGAAGATGTACAGAGTTATTGTTAGCCCTGTAGCCTGGGTGGCATCTGTTTAGCTCAGCATGGCGAATGGAATTGTTTACTGTGAGAGTTTCTGCTGACATCTGTTCCTGTACTTCACCTAGAGCAATATTTCAATTGTGTGTTGCTTTTTCAAAGTGAGAGCAACCTCATGCTCCAAAGTGTAAGAATAGAGAGTTTCCAAACTGGACTGGATTCTCCTCAGTGGCATTCCTTTTTACAAATAGCCTTGGAATCTTTGGTGCATACTAAGTGGAAACAGGAAAAATATATTAAGTTCCTGTAAAAACAAGTTACTGGTGATTTAGTTTTGAGTGCAATAGCTAGTATGTAAGCATGCTCTTGTGCAACAAATGCTTGTAAAGAGAAGTTTGTGTCTCCTCTTTGAATACCAGTAATGAAAGCAGATGTAGTAAGATGTGATGCTGCAGGTAAAAGGTAACGCAGAATTCCAGTATACCCTTGCAGCAGTGTTAGCATTTTGGTTGTGTTGTTGATAGGTGAAACAAAGATGTGTGCTGCTTTCTGTCCACGAAATGCAACTGAAAAGTGCTTTTGCCCATCCAGTACAATGGAAGGTTTTTATACGTTTTAATAAGACATCTTTACTCTGAAAATGTCACAAGCGCTTTGAGTAGTTTATTTGTGTAGCATGCGCTGTCTAGATTTTTGTGTATGTGGTCTTTGAAATTCATGTGTTTCCATTTAGAGAAAACAAATTCAGATACACATAATTCTTGGGTAGATTTGATTAAGTTCTTTCATCATCTGTTGTGGAGGCGAACAGTTACAGCGGTACAACGTGGAGGCTACTTGCTGTTTTGACTTACCGCTGGGATGTGCTGTGCTGCCGTGCTGGGTGTTAAAGCTGTTTGTGCCAGTACGATCCTCAAAGGGAGAACAGAAGCAAAAGTTGGCTTTCCTTTGGCAGTGCATTCACCTCTTTCCTTTTGCTCAGAGGATCATTTCCTGATTCGATCCTTGCTGATACGTAGAGTCTGATTTTGAGTAAAGGTCCAGAAGTCATCATTGTTAGCCTTCTGTGTCTGTTCCTTTTCAGTGCCATAGTGCTTGCTTTCTTGCATCATCCTTGAGTGGGGGCTTGCGTGTAACCAACCCGCGTGTTCTTAAACTAATGTGTTTCAGCACTTAGCCAAGTGCTCTTAGGGCACTACTAATTCTGCACTCACATGTTTAAAGCTTATCAGTTTCTGTAGGCTTTGTTAGGCATGAACAAATACCTCTCAGATGGAGACTGGCCATAATTAATGCACTTTCTCCTTTACCCTTTGGCCTGACAAGCCTCTGAAAACACAGCTTGGCATGTAATGCAGCTCTTGGCTATGCACTACTGTGGCAGCGAGGCAAATGGGAGGGAGAGTGTCTCTCTACTTGCCCCGTGTGCTCACTTCTTACCATGTAAAATGCTACTGGAAGAGTTTTATGTTCTATTCTTTCCTCTTTTTCACCGGAAGAATTAATAAACGACTAGACATTGATAGGAGTTGGTAAATGTGTCCAGCGGCTGGCTTTTCTGAAGAACTGTGAAACACAAGTTGTGGAATACGGAGCGTAGCCCTGCTGTTCCTGTGGGTCGTGCCCAGCTGTGAAGTGTAGCTCAGATGTTGTCGTGTGTTGATCTGCTTGCTGTGTGACAAATTCAGGACAGGTAGAAGCAACAGCCTCTTTCAAAGCACCCGGGAGAGAGATCTGTGTAAGCAAGACATGAGTGGACAGGGTTTTGGGCTGGGGACCAGAGGCTGGGGTCCGAGCGTGGTACTGCAGCCATCATTGCGACGTCTGGCTGTGAAGTACAGCAACACACGCTGTGTCCTGTCCTTCCTACTCCATGTTAGAGACAGAAAAGCCTGCATGTCTGCTTCTTAGCAGCTGTGGTTCACCTTCAGACACTTAAGTACTAATTTGATGTTAATGTACTGTGCTGTAAATAGGGATGGTGAGACACCAACAAAGCACCAGTTTTGCCATGTGTGCCGTGGGAGTGGCAGCCTCTAACAAACAGCTGGAGCGGTAATGGTTTTGGCCACTGTCCTTAAGCGTTTGTAACTGGGAGGTGGAGTGTTTTAAAGAAACCAGGCTCCTCAAAGTTCTCTTTGAAAAGAGAGGTATTCTTGCCTTTTGTAACTAAGAACTTTGGCCTTTCCAAGAAATACTGGCTGGGACTAATCCTGTGTGTTACCTTAATAGGATGAACCGATGGTGCACATGACGTTTTGTATCATCTTCCAGCCCTTCAGAGCTCCTGAAATGATCGTGCTGTCTGTGGACAAAAGGGACTCTGTTCTTTATCCATTTTCTAATTTATTTATCATAGAGTATTAGAGTATCGTATATTTGTGGGGAAGTAAGGGAAGATGGTATTTCCTGGGTATGTACTGTAAGTTAGCTTTTCTGTGCCATTTAGGCAAATACAAGCAGAGTTTTGCGGAAGTTTTTTTGTGTGGTTTTCTTTTTTTTTTTCCCCCCCCCTAAAGGGGAACAGCAGGGATCTGTCTTGTCTTTGACCGAACCACTGGTTACCCCAGTGCGTGCCCTGGTGAGACGTTGCTCAAGATGTAAGATCAGTCTGATTACAGTATTGTGACATAATGCCAATAAGTATGTAGGACTCTTCAGGTGGGACACTACACACCCTGTATATGGGGGGAAAGATGTCTGTGATGCATTGCTTCAGAATATAGTGTTTCCTGTAGGAAATATGCATTTCTGCTTGAGTTCACATCTTTTTTTTTTGGGGCTTGTTTTCTTTCAGGCATTTGTGGAGGCTCAAAACAAGCTTACAGTACCCTTCCTCGAGCAGTGTCCTGTCAGAGGACTGTTCAAAGAACGAATGACTGAACTCTATGATTATCCTAAGTACAGTTGCCATTTCAAGAAAGGAAAAAGGTATGTAAGGAATGTCTTTGTAGGTGGTGATGAATGTGAAGTAAGTGGGGGGTTGTTTTCTTTCAGGCATTTGTGGAGGCTCAAAACAAGCTTACAGTACCCTTCCTCGAGCAGTGTCCTGTCAGAGGACTGTTCAAAGAACGAATGACTGAACTCTATGATTATCCTAAGTACAGTTGCCATTTCAAGAAAGGAAAAAGGTATGTAAGGAATGTCTTTGTAGGTGGTGATGAATGTGAAGTAAGTCAAAAGCAACTCTAGTTAGGAAAACAAATTATAAATTGTATTTGTATTTATTCCGTTATAGTTGGAAAGTAGGAAAAGTAAGCCAATGGTAATATATACGGTTGCATGATGCAGAGCACAAGTTGCTTGACAGTCTCCAGTTCCCCATCATGTTATCTTCTTGTTCTTTTGTCGTCTTTTCTTTTTACAGTAATAATTGTGAGTTTATCAAACCTCAGACAACTTTGTAGAATAACTGTTGTAAAAATTTGAGGAGTTCCCTTCAGAGTTGGTCACTGTCATTATAGTTAAAGGCACATCATACTGAAAACAGCACAAGTCTGTCATGCGCATGTTGTTCTAAATATTTACTAAAATACTGCTCTTATATTGGTCATACTTTGAGCAGCTGGTAGGATTTTTTGTTTAGTCATAGCCAGTGAAAAGCAGTGGGAATTTGCTTGTGAAAAATGGCTCTTGTATTTGCAGGAGATAAGGGAAAAATAATTTGGAGGACTTAAGGCAACAGATGCAAAAAGATCTGTCTTCTAAGAAATAAAGAAATCCTGCTGTATTCCCATATCTAGCCTACTTGTATCCCTGTTTTAGTTCTGTGGCTAGGTAAAGAGATGGTGCTTCTGTGGCTTACCCCAGGTCTGGAGCCTGCAGCTGCTACTCGATTTTATGTGACCTCTTTCAGAAACACTAGCAATCTCTTAGAGAAAAGGAGTAAAGGGATGAAACTACTGGTTAACTTAGTAACATCTAAAGATTGTTTTAGCAGTTGAAAAAGAGGTAGTGCAAACAACCAGCCATTCTTAATCATGGAAAACACAAATAGTCTTTTTCAGTAATTTGTTTGATCCTTGTTGAGTGGACCCCCAATATGCCAGGTATGTTTTCACTGTCATCCACAAGGAAGAGCAAAATAGGTCTCATTGCCTTAAGATTTCTGCACAGGTACTGAGGCAGCTCTCCTACTCTTTAGTTATCTGTCCTATGCTGTGAAGAGGGTGTCGATACTTGCTACTAAGGGAGGGAAAGTCTGTACTATGTGGGTTTTTGTAAAAGTGTATTGTGAGGAGTGAACCCAAGCTGATGTTGATTTAGGTTGTCACTGATGAGGCACAGCACGTCAGTGTATAGAGGTATGAGGTTTAAGCCCAGAAGCGGTGGAGCTGTTTAGGACAGTGCTGCATCTGGGGAAATAAGCCTTGTTGAGTTAGGCAAATCATCTTAGTTTGTATGTGATGCTCGTGCAGATGTAGTTGTGCTGAATCTGAATCTGGAGCAGGCCTGGTCAGTGACCGCGCTGGATTCACTGACCCGTACTTCCTGTGCGGTGCAAACATGCCTGAATGTGACTATCTTCAATGCTGATAAGGCTTGATATTGCAGAAGTGCTCATGGCAGTGATGAATATAGTGTCCACTAGAGATAACAAGTCTTAATTTGATGCAGCTGACTGTCCTCCAGGAAGAGCATTTATACCAGGAGCTTAACATGCTTTAACTTAGGATGCTTTACTTTGATTTTTAATAGATGTCTTTTTAGTTTTTCTGAGTGTTATTCTATTTCTTGGCATGTGCTGAACTTAAATCACAGTGGTTTAAAAATTGTACCAAAAAACATATATTGCGGTGTTTGAGGAGATCAAGAGGGCTCTACCAAGTTAATCAACACTTAGTAAGGGGTGTGGAGAGGAACTATTCTATTTGAAGAACTATCTAAACTTCAAATGACACTCAGAAATTCTTAAATTTAATTACTCCAAAGAATAGCTGCTAAAGGACAGTGTCTGAAGAGCTGTTCTGTGGAATCTGCAGAAAGGAAGAGTGTCCAGGGAGGTGCTGTGTCTGTTGTGTTGTTTGACCTTTGCTTCCCAGCTTATTGCCCAGCATTGCAGAAGTGAAATCGGCTAGAAAATGCATGGTCAAATGGAAAATTATGTATCTTTTTCTTCTATTCCTTTAAATCTTTCGATTTTTGTCACTCGCTGAACATTATTGTTAGGTTTTGAACATATTACTTGTTCAGATTGTTAGCCAGACCTTTGCGAGTATAGTTTCCCATTTCTGGGTTTACCAGATTCCTGTGCCTTGTATCCAAGTACTGGACAGTCTTAGGGAATACGTGAACTTATGTTTAGGTTTGAACATTACCCCATAAATTCTGCTGTTCTCCCAGGTGAAGCTGCTGTTTGATTTGTTAAGTCATGGATTTGTGTAGTAAAACTCAGAAGTCCTATGAAGGAAGAAAAGCGTAGTACCTCTGAGTTGCATAAATACAGTTATTAATTTCTTTCAGCTCTGTCCTGTCTTACAATGTGAAGAGTATCCCTTACTAAAGAGAATTTTATAATTCTTTGTTCCTACAACTTTTTCAAAACACACACAGGTTTAGGGACATATGGAAATACAGATGAAACAATTTTAGTTCTGTTTCGTTTGAACATCTGTCTGCCACCCGATACAGACTGAAAGCAGCTATATGAATGACAAAGCTTAGAACATAGGGAATGGGAACCTATGCCAATACTTGGAGAAATGCTAAGGCTGCCAGAGCTATTTAACATAGACAGTTAGGTAGAGTTTATAGTATACTTAGCTTTGTTTGAAATGCACTGTGGCAAACGCAGCTTTTATTTTTAGAAAACACTTTGGATACATCCTACAATCTCTTCTATACAATCTATATCACATTGGGATGAGGATCCTCTCATTTTCAGAGGCCTAGAAATTGGTGTCTGGTCTTCTTTTGTACTAAGGGGGAGAGAAAGGCACCATCCCTGATGGCTACAGAGGAAGCCATGATTCCTACTCTACTGTGAAGCCTGTATTTCCCTTATATATTTGTCTGTCTCTTATTCACTTCATGACAATCTCATACAAGTTTTTCTTACTTGCTTAAGTGAAAATCTGAGTTCTTCGTACTTATTTTTCCCTCTTGTGTTCTTTTAGGTATTTTCACTTCTACAATACAGGACTGCAGAACCAGCGAGTTTTATATGTACAGGACTCCTTGGATGCCGATGCCAAAGTTTTTCTTGATCCAAATAAGCTTTCTGATGATGGCACTGTGGCTTTACGAGGTTAGTGAGACAGCAGTTCCTAAAAAAAATCTTCAGCAGAAGTTGGAAATGGTTTCTAGCTCTTCACCTGTAAAAGTACAGCTAGTGGCTTGTTTTAATCAAAGTACTCACAATAGCCATATGTGGATTTGTATAGTGTTTCGGAAGAACACTTCTAAACCTACAATTAACTTGGTTCAGTTTCTCAACGTCTTTTTTCACAACTCTGTAACAGGTTTCCTCTGAAATCTGAACAGATATTGAGGCTGTCCATAGCGAGAAAAAAAAGTTTTATGTATTTATATTGACTAATTCTCTTAAAATTGTATTTTGCATCTTTAACACAAGCTAGCAAGTTAAAGTAAGAGACTGTGAAGGAACGTAGCGTTAACTTTTATGAGAATCACAAAATTACTTGTGTTAGCTGTCCGTTTTCCCACTCCCTATTGGCTTATTGTAGAAGCAAGACTCTTGGACCTAGAAGTCCTTTAAGTCTATTCAAGGCCAGTTAATAAAAACAGAGGGCAGAATTAGTGGATGCTTCTTTAAGTGTGACCTCGTTGAAAAGAATCAATATGGCTTTTTTTTTTTTAGTGAGAAGTCCTACCGTAAACTGTGGATATAAGGAATTGGGTTCATACAATCTTTCTGTATTTCTAAAACGCTTATGACAAAGTCTCTTTCCAAATGCACTTAGAGAAACAGCAGCCATGGAACAAGAGGGGAAACTCCTGGTGTTGATAAATAATTGACTTAAAGGCAGGGACAGGAATTACTGACCGACCATCGAAGTGGAAATCACCAGTAAAGTTCTGTTGTGGGCTACGCTAGGACTTGCACTGTTCAGTACATTCATATATATTAGAAAAAGGAGTGAGCAGCGAGGTAGCAGAGGTTGGTGACGAGAAAAAGTTGTTCCAGGTAAAGGCTGAAGAATGACTGAAGATCTGCAGGAAGACCGTAGCAATAGCAAGTGGGCAATAAATTAACAGGTAAAAGTCTCTGTGCAGATAAATTCAGTGATGCACAAGGGACTAACAGTCCTAACTTCATTTGTAGGGGAATGGATGGAATGGACTCTGAGCTGACCATGACCACCTGGGAACAATTCTTAGGCTGTAATGGATAGTTCCATGAAAATGTCAGTGTGGTTCTCAGCAGCAGCCAAACAAGCACATCAAATATCAGAAATAACTAAGAAGGAAATCGAGAACAAAACAGAAAACATCATTACACTAGCAACCCAGGAGTTTATACAGTAGCACTGAATGCTAAATATAGTTCCAGTCCCCTGAGCTCAAAAGGGGCTCTGAAATACAGTCCAGAGGAGGGCAGTAGGAACTATCAAGGGTATGGAGCAAAGGTCAGAAACAATTGAGAGTGCCTGGATCTGTCAGCTTGGAAAAGGGACAATTTAGCAGAGATGTAATAGAGGTCTACAGAATCATAGAATCATTTGTGCTGGAAGGGACCTTTAGAGGTCGTCTAGTCCAACCCCCCTGCGGTGAGCAGGAACATCTCCAACTAGATAAGGTTGCTCAGAGCCCCATCCAGCCTGACCTTGAATGCCTCCAGGGATGGGGCTTCCACCACCTCTCTGGGCAACCTGTTCCTGTGCTTCACCACCCTCATTTGTGGCATGCAGTAGCGTGGAGAGGGTGGATAGGAGTTGGTTAGTCATTTTCTCTGTTACAAGAATGAGGGGATATCAGATGAAGGCAGTGGGAGTCAAGTCCAAAGGAAACAAAAGAAGATGATGGTTCGTGCCACAAGAAGTAGATCTGTAGAACCCCTTACCAATGGATATTGGTGGTGATGCAAAAACTTACTGTGGGTTTAAAAGCAAGCTGGTCAAGGAGGAGGGAAGCATTGAGGATTATTAGCCATCTGCTTTATGGAAAAGAAGTCTCCAAAGGTAAAAATGGTCAGGAGTTGTAAGAATATTTGAGGGAAATATTACATGTCCTTGCCCTGTTCTTACTCTTGTAGACATCTCATTGTGGTTACTCCTGAGGACAGCAGGGTGGAATCTTGTTCTGAATCAGAATGGTCACTCTTGTGTTCTTATGGGGGAGAATATGTTAGGGTACGCAGTGGTGCCTCTCAAACCTATGATTTCTATGAAATGCAACTTTTTTGTGTGGTTTTTTTCAGTAGTTACTTTCAGGTCTGTGCAGGCCTATGATAATTCAGTTTCTTCACTTGAGTTGATTTGCAAGAGTGAGTTTGATCCTTATGAACTATGATGGAAGCTCTTCTGATTTTTTTCAGAATCGTATTTTCCTCCCCGTTTGGATAAAGTGACATACATATCAGAGATCTTAACGGAGAATACTAGTGATTAATCCATTTACGTGCTAGTCGCAAGTTTTTCTAGTTACTTCAGTTTTCATGGCTTTGCAGGGTCTCATTTTCAGTGACTCAAATACTGAAGTATTTGCTTTGCTTCAGGATGCGTTGCTTGCATCTCAGTTTCTGTTGACTTCTTTCGTACTGTTTCTCTCTTAAAATCTCACTTTTAAGTTCTCTACCTGTGTGCATTTTCAGTCTCCAGCTCTTCCCCCCAAACTCAGGGAAGTAGAAGAACTATTACTCAAATCGTAATTTGGATGTTGGGTATAAGCAATGTTACTGAACGTACTTGCTGAGTGTGCGTGCCTAAACTCAGATTTGTGAGCTACTTGAGAAGTCCACAAAGACTGGAAAAGTGCTGTGAATCCTAAATGATAGCAGATGTTGTTGCTTGCACTGTCTTTTAGAAAAGAAACCCTCTTCTCTCAGTGTTCGGTGAACACAGTTCTTTTAACTGCTTTCCCAATTTCACCTCTCTTTTGTTGGGGTTTGGCTAGTGTGTAACAAACGATAAAAAGCTGTGTGGCAAAATATTGATTCCTTTTGCTGGAACTTACTTCATCTTGTTTGGTTCTGATTTCCTAGGTTATGCATTCAGTGAAGATGGTGAATACTTTGCTTATGGCCTGAGTTCTAGCGGCTCTGATTGGGTTACTATCAAGTTTATGAAAGTAGAAGGTCCTGAGGATCTTCCAGATACACTGGAGAGAGTTAAATTCAGTTGCATGGCATGGACCCATGATGGAAAAGGCATGTTCTATAACTGCTATCCAAAACAAGATGGGAAAAGTGATGGTAAGTATGGCTGTACTGATTGCATACTATGTGGAAGCAAAATGACCTTTTCAATAAATTGGTGCAACAAACAATGAGCTCCACTAGTTTGTACTGAAATAACTAGCTATACTAGTTTATACAATTAGATATCAGATTACGTCTTGTATGACCAAAGCCTATACTCAGTGTCAGTATCCTCTTGTCTGCCTGTCCTTGTCTTTCTCTTAAAAGCTTGATGCTCCTTTTCTTTTTCTCTGCAATGATTTACTTAGCTTTCATACAGAGTGTTATGGTCTGGAATTTGATGTCTGATGACAGCTTACTTAGATCTCTTCCCCTTATGCATTAGTGTGGGTGTAGGTGAAGAGGCTTGGGAGGCTGACCTGATGAATGACAATCTGGGGCATAAGGTTTTTGTTATTCAACCAGATTAATTCATCTGTGGTTCACAGCACAGCAACACAAAATGTTTATGCTAGCAAAACTCGAGGAGCAGCATACAAAGTGGACTAAATTTCTGAGGAGCGTTAGTAGGGAAGGAATTTAACAGCTCTTATTATAAGGCAGTGCTACTGCAAAGTTTCTTCTGAAGCTATGCTCTGTGTTAAACCTTGGAGAGAGCCTGAATTTTGCCTCTGTATTTGCTTTTGCAGCCTGTCATTTTGCCAGACTTGCAAGTTAGATACCTACCTTTTTTTTTTCACTTCAGAAGCTGAAGTGTTGGAAAGCGCTGCAAGAGCAAAATAATAAAAAAATCAAGTAGTACCTCATGCAGCGCTTTAAAATACTACTTTTTTATTTTCAGCAAATGAAAGTATGAAGGTTTCTAGGAATGTTAATTAGCAGTAAATCTCCCCTTAGCTGCCCAGGGTGAAATGGGAGAAAACGCAATATTAGAGGGTGGCAGGGATTGCTGTTTTTCTTTGCTTGCTTAGTATGTCTAGAAAGCAAAGCTTGAAAGGATAAATCTTCACATTTGAAGAATGTATTATTAGCAATAAAAGGAAAGGGTAGCTGTTTGAACAGGTTTGCAGTGTGGTTTGACGTTTTGTTTTGTTTTGGAGGGGAGTGGTTGTAGACGGCTGAATTACTCTTCTCTCTTGTATGCAAAGGGATAGGGAAGTTTCTAAGGGTTTTATTTGGTGGTTGTTGTATTTCTTTGAGAACTAATTAGTTTAAATATCTGCATTTAACTAGGCACTGAAACCTCCACTAATCTGCACCAAAAGCTGCATTATCACGTATTAGGAACTAACCAGTCGGAAGATATCCTATGTGCTGAATTTCCCGATGAACCAAAATGGATGGGTGGAGCTGAGGTATGGTAAACAACCTGACTCTTGTCATCATTATGTTTAGTTTTTCAGATTCTAACAACTGATAGTAGGTATAAAGTAGAAAACATTTTGTTGAAAGAATGATTTTTATTGGTGTTGCGGAGTTGACTATTGAACTAAGAATTATTGATTGAGAATTGCTGAGAATAAGACTATCTAGTTTGCTTTAAATTGGTCCTCAAACCTATGATGACACAATCACATACCCTTTTTCTTCATTGGGGACATTCTGCCTGATACACGTTCCAAGAGAGAGAAGGATCATTTGATGGACAATGTGTCACTGTTATTGTTTCTTCTTAGTGTTGAGCCCCAGCCTTCACATCCTGTGCAAAAAGCTTATTCCAATAATGAACATGTCTGGATATTCTCTGCCATGTATTTATTTTGTTGGTGTTTATTTTTGTGATGCTTTTCCTGAAAGTGAAATATGTCCATTCCTCTTACTTGAAGAATGGAGAGGCACACGGGTTAAAATGTGTTAATACTATGTGCACAGTGGGAGACTTTAAGTTGTCCTACAACAAGTTTTATCCGTGCAAATATGGTGTGAACTGTGTTACTGGTGATGGAACAAGTGACTGCTGGAATGGAATTCTTAAGCTTATTTTGTTGAACTACTAGTATGTAGTGCAAAGTCCCGGTGAACCAAAATGATAGGTAACCATGCTCTGTTCTTCCTTACATGAATGATTCAAAAGGCCCTAGGTTTTGTAGTTACTGTGTGTTTTATTCTTCATATTTGATTTAACAGTGCTTAATTGAGTGCACTGTTCTAAGGCCTCTTGGAATGTAGTGGTGGTCACTCTCTTTATCAGGGAACTGATGTTTTTCCAGTGGATAAAAACCTGTTGTAATTCTTTGTATTCTCCTAGCTACTGTGTTTAGTCAGTTTCTATACAGGGTCTCTTTTGATAAATAAGAAATGTCTTTACCCAGATTTGGGGTATTCTGTTCCTAGAACTACTTTTCCCTGAGAGTACCTCTTTTTAAAAATTGGGTCATCAGTCTGGGTCACTTTTCAACACATCAACCCATTAAAATGTTAGGGGTTTCTTTTCTGTGGGCTGCCAGAAAAGGAAGATTCTTTCAAACAGTTTGAACAGTGGGATTCCAAGTGAGACAGTGAATGAGAACGTGAAGGTCTCCCCAGCAAAGTGACCACACTGAGCTTTCTCTGTACAAATCAGACTTACCTGTAGGTTCTGTGGATAAACAGAACCTTTTTTATGTAATCTCATCCATTCATGAAACATACCTTTAACAACTGACCTGAATATTGATGTAAACTTGCAAATGGAGCTTTGGAACTTTTTTACTGTTCAAAAACTAGTCAGTTCTGTTGACTTTAACTGGCAATAAAATGGAATTTGGAAATCATTATTCTTATTTTTCCCTAGTTCCATAAATAAATGGGCTTTCTGTTGGTGACAGATGTCTTGTAGTGATGTATCCACTGATTCACGAGTGATGCATATTATTATTATTATTATTATCGCTTTGCAGTGTCATGAGCTGAAGTACACATGTTGTTGTGAAGGCAGATTAATTTTCCATGGGGGAGGGCTGTTGCAACCTGATTCATTAGACCATACAGCTTTTCAGGGTAGTGAAAGTTCGCAGACTCAGATGGTGTTAAATCCCATGGAAATGATATCTTCTGTATTAGGTGTAGAGGTACACTTGCCTTACAGGTAGCAAAACCTTCTTTGAGATAATAGCACACTAACAGAGCCTTTTCTTATCTAAGTGGAAGACGCAGGGCTGGAGCAGTTCCAAGATCAGAAATACAGAACCAAATACGAGGAGGACCGTGGAAGAGAATTTGTGGTACAGTGCTTGTAGTGAGTAGCAAAGAGTTTGCCTGGCCAGGGTGCACACAAGCAGCCGTTCTGCATCTGCTGGCTCTTCTATTGTGAAAGAAAAGCTTGAGGCAGCCTTAAATGTATCTTTTTTTTGATACCAAATGTCTCAGGCAATTTTTGTGATTAATGAGAATATATAGCCCTTATATTAAATTATTAAAAGATCTTTGGGGTGGGAAGAGGGGACTGGTAATAGTGACTCTTGCTGTAGAATAGGAAAATAATACAATGTAGTGCAGTTACCAGTTTTGAAGCTACTGGAATTGAAACAGCCCCGTAAGTATTGAGAAAGTGAGGAGGCCAGTGAATAGAGAAACAGCTCACTACTGTGAGCTCTTGATTAATAAATTTATATGGCTGCTTATAACTGTTTTCTTGACCTCTAGGAGGCATAAACTTCAGAGATGTTGGTATTTAAGAAGAAATGCTATTTTAAGGAGGAGTGGTAAAGCAGAGATCTACCTTGGTAAATAATGATGAGCTTGTCTAAGTGAAAATACTTTAAAACAGGTGATATTCTGGGGTTGTGCTGTGAGCTCCAGCTGTAAAATGTGGCTCTGTCATACTGATACTAATGAAAAATGGTTTTTAATGGTCAGGAAAAAACATATTCTGCAATTAAAAAAAGCCCAAAACAATGTGGTTGCGAAGTGTGGTTTCATCCTTGTGCAATAGGTCAAAAATCTTCTTTTCAGGCCATTCAAGTAAGTTTTCTACTCAATTTTTTAGAAGTATGTGTTTGAGAAAGTGGAAGACCACAAAGTAATGGGGGGAAAATTAAAATATCTTTAGTAAAAATCAAATTATATGGCTTATTGGCACTGTCCTGAATATTCTTACTTGGTACTAACATGCTGCCACAGATTTTAAAATACAGCTTTGCACAGCTCAACATTTTATGAAAGTCCACTTTAGTGCATTCCTGTCAGATTAATAAACAAATGTTTTTATTTTACAGGGCCTTGCTGGGCCAAATAGGTATAGAGATTTGGATTCTCTTGTGTTTTACTCATGCTCCAGTGAAGACAGTTGGATTATGGTGTGGGTGGTCTAGTCTCAACTACCAAACCTTTCTGTATAGGGTGGGCAGACCTTGAACTCCCATACTCAGGTGTAGAGCAGAACTTGGAGGTTTCACAACTGTTGAATCAAGGGAGAGAAATACCTTGCTTGAAAGTGAAAAGCACCTGACAAGGAGATCCTTCAGAGACTGCAAAAGTAATGATGGTGCCATGATACTTCAAAAAAATGAGTAATCTTGGGTGCAGGAGTCGATGTAGTGTGTATTTTCAGTGGAGAGAAGAAACTAGGACAAAAGAGGGTTGTGTAAAATTTTGTTGGGTTAACAGATTTACAAGACAATATGCAAGAAAACAGCTTCAGGGTTTTTTCCTCATTACGCGTTCAACACCAGCCCCAAGTATGCTTGATTTAAACAAAATCTGTGGTCCTGAAAATGGTGTTGGCATAGAAATATAGATGCATTTCCAACTCCTCGCTTGAATGGATTACGTGTGAGGAAAAAAAAAATCTGCTTATTGTTCATCAGACACATAAGTTTTGAAAAAGTGGCTATGAAATCTTTTCATTAGTCTGGGAAAAGCGTATGTATTTCTGGTACAGATTCTGGGAGCTGGGAAGAGGAGGGATGGAGTTCACTTGAATAGCATCCCAGTAGAGGGCAGTCTGGTATGAAGATTTTGAAACCTTGGCAGTGTCACAGCTCCTCTGGAAAAGAAGAGCTTCTCATGCTTCTCTGTTTGTGGCATGTACTTGCTTCCTCTCCAGACTCACAGAGCCTATCTCTCTTTCACAGCCAGACTGTTATTCTCAAAGTTAAACAATAAGTTATACAAGAGCCTGTCACAGTTGGTAGTGTTAAAAGTCCCTACGGTACTGGCAGGAAAGTAAACAGGAGAGAAAGGAGGGGGTGAGGGGAACCCTCCCATCCCAATTCTGCCAGCAGTGAAACAAGTACAATTTTTCGTGGTGTTGTCTAACAAACACTGTACACAGTCCCTGAATTGACAGGGTTTTTTTCTTTTATGTTTAGAGATGCCAGTTAATATCAGTGGTTCTCAACCAGGGAGATGATCTTGCAAATGAAATTCAGAGCAGAGAAGAGTAAGCTGTGCCAGATGTCTGCTGGCTGTGGTGTGTTTTCACTGCAGGAACATGGAAGTGCAGCATCCACAGGGGAAGAGTGAGCAGCGCGAAGGGGAAGGGCTCCAAACACTGTCAGTTCACTCAAGTGAGACTTGCTGCTGGATAAAACAGGGCTGTGGGAATTTTTCTAGAGCCTTACACTATCTTTTTCGAGGCTGAATCTGGAATAGAAATCTACTATGAATATCTTCCTACAGCCCTGGCAATAGGTCTGGAGAATTTTACCATTAAGAAACAGACAGGCAATCGTTCTGACTGCACGTGGGGCTGTGGTAGATGGTAATCTCTCACATAGCCAGGTTCCTGATGCTTTGGTGCTTTCATTGCACTGAAAAGCAAGCTGAAAGCCATGGGAAAAACGGTGTGTGATGTTTGTCTCTCAGCTGAGAAGGCTACTGATTTTACTCTGTGCTAGATTTAGGGAAGAGAATGCATGTAAATACACATGTACGTATTGCTGTGTTCCTCTTCTGAACAAGGCTGGCTACTGTCCTGTTGCAATTGAAACAGTCATAAGCACGGTGATCTGGGGTCAGAATCCCAGTTCTCTGGCTTTGGTAGGTCTCCTTCAGCCCCAAGCTTAGCAGAGGCTCAGAAGGATATGGTCAGAATAGAAATGCTCTTTATGCCAGCAGATTGTATCTGAAATCCAAGATAAAAACCCGCCTGGAATGAGGGAATTGGAGTAATGCCCAAAGCAATTTTTCTAACCTGGGGAGTGGACGGATAGAACACCTCAGCATGTTGTTTACATATAACCAGTCCATGTCCTGCGTAGAGTATGTCAGGCCTGCTCCTCAGAATGTGGTAAGTGATTTGTCATGAAATTATGCATTCCTGTGATTATCCATCAATAGAGCTTCTGAAATCTAGTTGATTAAACCAGTATGATGCAAACAGAAAACAAAACAAAGCATTTGCAGCCGTAGAGTACCAGCTGCAGGGGCCTTG